TAGCTCCTAGCTATTTTCGATTTTTAATAAATGCTTTCTAGGGGCCTCTTTCGCCGAAATTAATGAAGCGATTGATGATGAAGAAGAAGGTGAGGCTTCCGCTTGTGACAGACATCCAGAGGTTTGAGATGGCCACTAAACGTTTCAATAAAAGGAAAACCCGAGAAGAATCTACGTTATCGACAATCTACCAGAAGCCTCCATTCACGTACGCACACACTCGAACGGGTGATCACCTCCGTTTTCGTTCTTGGAAACTCTCCAGGCTATAACGGAAAGGCCCATGTAACGGCACAAAACAACAATAAGCAGCTTTATCTACCGAAAATTTTCTCTCGGGCTACGGTGGGCCGGAACTCTCAGTTCCACAACCTCTCCGTTGAAGATAGGGAACAACTTGGAGGCATTGAATACCGGAGCTTGAGGCTTTTGCTGAAAATTGTCACCGGGTACTTTTTCGGTCTGCATCTGTTCGGTGCGATCTCTCTGGTGGGATGGATTCTCCATACCGATCAAAAATATCGAGACTATCTTGCTGAATGTGGCCAGGGCAGCGTTTGGTGGTAAGTTGGCCTTGTATTTGTGTTATTATGACAGAATAGCTCATTCCCATTATGTCGCAGGGGTTTCTACTCTGCTCAAACTATGATCGACAACCTTGGTTTTACTTTGACCCCAGATTCAATGATCTATTTCCAGGATGCCACGTTTCCAATGCTTCTCATCAGTTTCCTTGCCTTTGCCGGCAACACCTGCTATCCATGTTTGCTCCGATTAGTAATATGGATCATGTACAAGGTTTGTCCAGAGAAATCATCGCTCAAAGATCCGCTTCGCTTTCTGCTCGATCACCCTCGACGGTGCTACACCCTCTTATTTCCGAGCAAGCCAACATGGATACTTTTCGGAATCCTATTCATTATGAATTCTGTTGATGTGCTTCTCATAATCGTTCTGGACCTGAATAACCCAGCTGTTAATAGTTTGGCACCCGGCCCCCGAGTCCTTGCTGCTATTTTCCAAGCCGCATCAGCGCGCCATACGGGAACATCGTCTTTCAATTTAGCTGATGTTAGCCCAGCTGTCCAATTTAGCTTAGTCGTTATGATGTATATTGCAATTTTTCCTATCGCAATTAGCATCAGAGCCTCTAATGTCTACGAGGAAAAAACGCTGGGTATTTATGGCTCTGAGAGAAGCATGGACGAAAGTGATGGTCGAACGTACATTCTTAACCACATCCAGAACCAACTCAGCTTTGACTTGTGGTACATCTTCCTCGGATGCTTTTGTATCTGCATTGCTGAAGCTGGCAAAATTGCGGATACATCTATTCCGGTGAGTGGGTAGTAACTAATTGCTTGATGGCAGAGCTGATAATCCTAGGCCTTTTCCGTGTTCTCCGTGTTATTTGAAGTCGTTTCAGCATAGTAAGGATCATACTTGATTCAAGATTTCTTAACCTCGCTAACTCTTCTATAGCGGGAACGTGGGACTCAGTCTAGGCTACCCGACCGTCTCAACATCTCTATCTGGGGAGTTCACAGTTTTCAGCAAGCTCGTTATCTGTGTGATGATGATCAGGGGTCGTCATCGTGGATTGCCTTACAAGCTTGATCGTGCTATTGTTCTCCCAGGCGATCGCTCAGGGGATGGTAGGCATAGCAATGAGCTTCAAGCTTCACTGAGCGAGCGGTGATGTGGCAAAATCATCGGCGTTACAATGACGGTAGACCCCCAAAATAGATATGGCAAAAGGTCTCTGGAAAGGTACTGAAGAATCTAAAAGAAGAAGAATCTAATTGTAGATTTAGCTATATTTGGTTTACACTTAGGTAATATAAGTAGTATGTTAGGAGTAATGAACTTTATAACTACAATTTCAAATATGAGAAGTGCGAAGTTTTGACCGACAGCCGGTTATTAGACCTGATATCTCTGTGACTACGGCTTCGAATTCAGCAATTGAGAGTTCAAGTGCAGTTCGAGCTAGTTAATAACCTTGCAAGTAAGATCGGAAAAAATGTCTCCGGATCGCCTCTCCGCCAACAGAGCTCAGGGAGGCGTTGTGGGGGAAAGTGGAAGTATCGAGAATCATTTGCGATATACCTGACGAAATGTTTAGGCATTTTTTCTTCCATACAGCAGCCCTCAATAATGCCAGCATAAATACCACGGCATTCGTCCAGCATAAAACTCCTATCGTAATGTGTACTTAATGAACGATGGGATACGCTCAATGGCAGTCCGCGAAGTGCAGGGGGGTCGATTGCAACAAACACAAAACTGCATGAGCGTACGAAGTGTAGACAGCAGAGCAAAGCAAAGTAACCATAAGTAGTGGGCGGCGAGACGGAAGAGTAAAATAACGATATCGTGAAGCGAAAGGATTGTGTTAATTGTAAGTTAGCGATGCTATTTCAGATACTGAAGAACAAACAAAACGGTGCCTGAGACCTAAGGCTCTCACAACCCGATTACTCTTGAGGGGGCTCCAGCAAACTAACAGCGCCAAAATTCTCGGTGGGTCCTCTCTATTCCCCCTCGCAGAATTTCCCGCTCGCAGAATTTCCCGCTCGCAGAATTTACCCCCGCAGAATTTCCCCCCGCAACGCTGTCTATCGCCATCGGTCCCCAGTTACCCTGGCTTGGCTTACTTGGATGACTCGGCGGTCTATGTGGCGATTTATCTTCTTCCATATAATCTACGCATTATTGGCTCTATACTTTCAAGTCATTATTCGATAACATTGACTTGCCACCCTGCCAGTACCGTTTTCCTGGCAGACCTTGGGATAAACAAACCTATATGCCGAGTATCTACCCAGCAAACAGTGCCAAAATTTGCTATCTTAAGGCCACCATCTAATCTGAGAAAAAGGTTTTCTGGCTTTAAGTCGCGATGGGCTATCCCATGCTGGTGAAGATAATTGACACCACGCATGAGCTGTTTCAAGAGGCAATCGCCCTCTTCAGTTTCTAGCCGGCCTCTCTCAATAACTAGGGAATGAAGATCACGACCGGGACAATATCCCATGCACCCGCAAAAAAATCACCATCAACTCTTATAAGCTCTAATGTTTGAATAATATTTCTGTGTCGGAGAGAAGAGGAAATTGTAAATTCGGCGTCGATCAGCTTTCGGAATGCGGCTTCACCTATCTCCGGTCGATAGCGAAAGACTTTGATAGCGTAGAATGAATGAACGCTTGGATGCCACTCTTGTTTCTTGTGTGAAAGGAGTATGACCGCTGAAGATCTACGGCCAATGAAGTTGCAGATATCCCCGTATCTCTGAGATATCATGTTCCTGTCCTCGCAAGAAGTCATTTCAGGTTGCAACACACCCTTCAGCCTTTCCAATTCGGCCTGAGACTGGGCTTTTCTTCTTTCTTTTTTTTTTGCACAATGGCCAGTTTGTGGGCTTTGAAGCGCGTCTTTTCCCGAATAGCCGCACTCTTGCCTTGGGAGACGTCTTGAAATGGTAATGTATACCATTCGGCGGGAGAAATACTCGATTGTCCGCTTGTGCTGGGCTTTCAATATCTCCGGTTGAAGGCGAAATTGGAATTCTGTAATCTTCCAAGCCCAATTCGGAATTGTTTGGGTTGTGAACTATGAGTGCACGATTAAGACTTGCATTGTCAAGGTGTTCGGGGGTTTCCTTTGGGTGGACGAGGATACAAAGCTGATATAAAGTCTCCAGTACTTCTCGGGCTCGTTCAAGCATCCTGTGCCACCAGAGAATCGTTAATTGTTTGTGCTGACAAATATCTTATCTGCCAGATAAATGCCTCATCAACATGCTCAGAGCGATGGTATTCCTAGATACCGGAACAAACCCTTTGATGGATTTGGTTCACATAGAGAACGATGAGAGACTATGCCATTCCAAACTTTCTTGAAAAAGCGAGGTATTGTGTAGGTCAACCCGATGATAAAGAAATATTAGTGTAGAGAGTGATTGTATCGAATATGGCAAAAATCTGCCTGGCGTTCCTACGTTGCAATGCTTGGCGCCAAGTACGTCGCATGTAAAGTTACGCTCTGATGTGGTGACTGGTCGTAAAGTCCGAACCAATATGGCGAATGAGCTCCTTGACTATAATACTTTCTTCTAGGCTTCTCAAACATTTGTTCACGAATGGAATGCCCTGGCGAACATTCTTCTTCAACTAAGACGTTGGGACTGTCAAATCAACCGCTGTCTGCCAAGCCTATTCCCATAATTCCGTAATGCCAAGCCTGTAGGCGGTTCCGCCAAGGCTGCGCTGCAGCTCCTCCACCTCTTGGCGATCCTGAGCTTTGTTCGTTGTCTAGCTTTTTGACACTCAGTTTGGTAATTCCGGTCCGAGCTCTTGGTAGATGGCATGGAATAATATCATTTGTCGCTCACTGACCGAAAGCAAGCATTTCGTCTCAAAGCTCACTGTAGGCCTTCATCTTGGGCCCGTCCAGGATTGTTGAATTTCGAAATTTGCATGGAAAGTCTTATCCTATCTAATGAAACTAAGCCTAAATCACTGGGGGAATAAACTGGTCCTGTTGACCCAGCCCCAGCCGATTGCGATTGCGGAGATGCAAGCAACTGCAGAACCAAAGCCATGACACAACGCAGCTTGGCGGTATTGCTCTACCACCCGACCCGCTACGCCAAGAATCCCAGAGCCAGTTTCAGCAGCAATTTCTTCTCGTTGGCTGACTAGTGCATTTGGGTCTGAACAGATTTCTGATTACGGCCTAAACCCCAGCGCCAAGTCCCAAATCTCACATTATCCAATGATGTATGGGCCCATGCATGTGGCGACGAATGTGATGGCGATGCGCTTACCCGGACCGATTTGGATATCCACACGATTCTTAGCACGGGCAGAAATCAGTGAGAGTTTTGAAACCGAAATAAATTCTCTGCTTCTCTAACAAACCTAAGTTCCTCACGGATAGAAACACGACTCTATCACATCTCAGCTACGATTACTTTTCCCTCCGAGCAGTCTCCAATGCCGAAGAAACACGACCTCACTCACGACCACGGGTCCGGTGGCAGCCCTTTGAGCCAGCCAGCTCACTCACTGTCTTATGAGGCTGTCATTAAGGAGCTCGGCACTGAGCTGGATGAAGGACTCTCTCCTGGAGAAGCTACCCGTCGCCTTGACCAATATGGTCCGAATAAATTGGACGAAGGCGAAGGAGTGTCGGTGGTCAAAATTCTTGTTCGCCAGGTGGCTAACGCAATGATGCTAGTAAGAGGACCATTGCCTATCCTCTCAGTGAATATAAATCGGTCAAAACATTTCAACCTCTGATTCAGTTCTTTTCCAGGTACTGATTCTGGCCATGGCTGTCAGTTTCGGAATTAAGTCGTGGATTGAGGGCGGAGTGATCTTTGCTGTCATTATATTGAACATCGTTGTTGGGTTCTTTCAAGAGTACGCTGCAGAGAAGACTATGGAGTCGTTACATTCACTCTCGTCGCCTACAGGCACTGTCTCGAGAGGTGGTCACACCTTCTCGGTTCCGTCACATCAGATCGTGCCAGGTGACTTGGTAGAACTGAGGACTGGAGATACCGTCCCAGCGGATATTCGGTTAGTTTATTGTTACCATTGCCCTTTTATAGGTTGCCGAAATAGCCTAACATTTTTAACCTTACTAGCCTGGTTGAAGCAGTTAATTTTGACACTGACGAAGCACTTCTGACCGGCGAGTCTCTCCCAGTACAGAAGGAATGTGGTATAACATTTAAAGAAGACACTGGCCCCGGAGATCGTCTCAACATCGCTTATAGCTCGAGTACGGTCACTCGTGGCCGTGCTCGAGGTGTTGTCGTCAGTACAGGCATGTTCACGGAGATTGGTTCTATTGCCCTCGCGTTGCGGGCTAGCGGTAGCAAACGCCGTCCTGTCAAGCGTGATCAAAACGGCGAGACTAAGAAACGGTGGTATCTCCAGGCTTGGACTCTTACCGGAACTGATGCCGTGGGTCGATTTCTTGGTGTTAATGTCGGGACTCCCTTACAACGGAAACTGTCAAAACTTGCCTGCTTGCTATTTGGAGTTGCCGTCCTTTTTGCCATTGTATGTATGGCTGCAAATCTGTTTAGCAGCAATACCGAAGTCATCATGTATGCTGTTGCCACCGGTATCAGTATGATTCCGGCGTGTCTCGTGGTCGTGCTCACGATCACTATGGCTGTGGGTACCAAGCGCATGGTCCACCGAAACGTAATTGTTCGCAAATTAGACTCGTTGGAAGCACTTGGTGCCGTTACCGACATCTGCTCCGATAAGACTGGCACACTGACCCAGGGCAAAATGGTGGTCAAAAAAGCATGGATTCCATCTCGGGGGACATACTCTGTTGGGACCTCTAATGAGCCATTTAATCCTACTATTGGAGATGTCACCTTTACTTCTCTATCTCCTTCCGACTTTGACGACGAAAAAGAAGGTCCCGCCGCGGAGAAGGCAGAGGACTTAGTATCAGATAACCGCCAGCTTGAGGACTTCCTGGACGTCGCAGCTATGGCCAACCTTGCTCATGTGTACAAGTCTGAAGAAGGCAAGTGGAGCGCGCGTGGTGAACCTACGGAAATTGCCATTCAGGTATTTGCATCGAGGTTCAACTGGAATCGCGACCGCTGGACAAAGGGCCAGAAGGTAGTTTGGCAACAAAAGGCTGAATTTCCGTTCGACTCGACTGTGAAAAAGATGTCTGTGATCTTTAACAAGGCTTCCCTACAAGATGATTGCACAATGGTCTTTACCAAGGGTGCTGTTGAGCGTATCGTTGATTCGTGCATCTCTGTGAACTGGGACCAAGATTCGTCCATACCCGTGCCAATGACTGATGACCACCGCCGAAAGATTTTTCAGAATATGGAGGACTTGGCAAAATTGGGGCTCCGGGTACTGGCTCTTGCTCATAGACCGTACACTGGCCAGGCACAATTGCTTGAGGATTCTGACCTGGAACGTGAGAGTGTGGAAAAGGATCTGTGCTTCCTAGGGCTGATTGGGTTGTATGATCCTCCTCGACCCGAGACAGCAGACTCCATCCAGGCTTGCTACCGAGCTGGTATAGTTGTCCATATGGTTACCGGGGATCACCCTGGCACTGCCAAAGCGATTGCACAGCAGGTCGGAATCCTTCCTGCTGATTTCAGTGCCGTGGCAGCTGATGTCGAGGATGCTATGGTCATGACTGCTAGTCAATTTGACAAGCTCTCTGAGGAGCAAATTGATGCCCTTCCTACTCTTCCATTGGTAATTGCACGCTGTGCCCCTCAAACCAAGGTACGCATGATCGACGCCCTTCATCGCCGTCGTCGTTTTGCGGCAATGACCGGAGATGGGGTGAATGACTCCCCTTCGCTTAAGCATGCCGATGTTGGTATTGCTATGGGCCAGGCCGGCTCGGATGTTGCCAAAGATGCCTCTGATATCATTCTGACTGACGACAACTTTGCTTCGATTCTGAATGCCGTCGAGGAAGGTCGTCGCATCTTTGATAACATTCAGAAATTTGTACTTCACTTGTTGTCAGAAAACATTGCTCAGGCCTGTACTTTACTCATTGGGTTGGCTTTTAAAGATGCTGACAATCAATCTGTCTTCCCACTTTCGCCAGTGGAAATCCTCTGGGTTATTATGATTACATCAGGTATGCCAGATATGGGCCTCGGTATGGAGATAGCTGCGCCTGATATTATGGACCGACCCCCCCAGAGTAAGCAGGGTATATTCACATGGGAGGTAGTGGTTGATATTCTGGTTTATGGCGTCTGGACTGCAGCGCTTTGTCTGGCAGCTTTCTCTGTACGAATGTGGGGGTTTGGCGACGGCAATCTGGCCCGTGGCTGTAACAAAGAGTGGTCTGATGAGATCACAGACTGCGAACTGGTCTTTCGAGCACGAGCAACCACATTTGTGTGTTTGACGTGGTTCGCGTTGTTTCTAGCCTGGGAGATGGTTGATATGCGACGATCATTCTTCCGTATGCAACCAAAATCCAAGAAATACTTCACCCAGTGGATGTATGACGTTTGGAGGAACAAGTTTCTTTTCTGGTCCATCATGGCTGGATGGATCACTATGTTTCCTATTCTCTATATACCCGTCCTTAACGATGTTGTGTTCAAGCACAAGCCTATAACGTGGGAATGGGGCATCGTGGCGGTTGAAGTAGTACTATTCTTCATCGGCGTCGAATCCTGGAAATGGGCTAAGCGGATCTTTTTCCGTCGCCAAGCCAAGAAAAGTACAGCTTTAGCCTCTGTGAGAGACGAACCAGAACAGCCCTAACAAACGCTTTCCCTGGTCAGACATCGAGAAAACATGGCCAGGGGGAAAGACTCGCTCGGGAACAGTGCACGCCTTATGGAAACAACTCAACGGAACGATGAGAAAATTAGGATTTTCAAACTGACATTGAGAAGAGAGTGAAGAGGGTTGGGCTAATGGACTCACCAACTGAACTGGTTTCCCGCCTATCTTTAAAACAGATCTCGTGATGCAATGGTGTTGAATATTACATTTATCTTTTCTACACTATCAGTTTAGTCGAAGGAATGAACGAATTCATATCAGAAGGATTAGAACCCCTTGGATACAATCGTTACAATATTTGACAGTAAATACTACTAGTGGATACTGCCAATACAGTAATATCGCTTTGAGGGGAGCTTCCCTGCTCTTGCAGGCGTCATTAAGCTTAGGCCATAATCAGCCCCTACCTCGCTTGCTAGGTATGCTGGTCCTCCATCCAAGGCCTGACATCTGCCACCAAAGCGGCGATGTCTTCATCAACCAGAGCGCTGCATAACCCGGATTTCCCTTTGATAACCAGCGCGAGCAAGTTTTTGATCAATATTGTGCTACATTTTCTACAACGTTCCGTGTTAGAAATTTTACGCCAATTGATGAAACACAGGCTATTACTCGATTAATTTGCGATACGTTATCAGTGATAGTATGGCTATTATACCTTTTTCATGTAGTTGCAAGGCGCAAAAGATTGGAAATAAGCCTCTCTGCACTGACAACGTTAGTTTGGCCAATTTTATACACGTTCGCTGAGCTAGCGATCAAAATTCCATATATCTATGGCTTGTCAACAGAATATTTTAACTTGTAGACCTATATGCTACGGCCTTGGGAATTTTCACCACAATCCACTGGAGGCTTGTAATGATCCCTGGGGCTCTTGAAGCGTTGACTTTGGCTTTTATCGGGCATAATTGGGGTCATTTTCGAGCAATACACAAGAAATGCTTGGTAGAAAGTAGACATATCTAATGATTTGTTGAAAAGGCTTTTTTCAAAGTCGTGGATCTCTATCAGCTGCATGGTTTGCCGACTATCTTTACTAGAGACAGGATAAAACTATGCGAAGCTTGATTTTGAAGGGTGGAATCAACGGCTGGGTTAAGGCTGGATTATACTGAGTTGATGGAGGAGTTCGATGCGAGGATATGATGAGCTTTTATTGGACAAATGAGGGATCAAAATAGCGGTGGCGGGAGATGAAGTATGGTGGCCAGTAACTTAACTAGGTTAGTCAACTATCGACTCCTAGACCACCGTTGTATATTATCGTTTGCCAACATGATAATGCCTCACTCCACATTATTTTTTTTGCCTACACTTATGTTTGCATTTCAATTTGGATTATTATAACCGATCGACGAAGCAATCTCCCACGTCGAGTAGATCGTGTTTGAGGTCATGGACATGCAATGATGAAGAGTTTGTTAGTGCCGAAAGTACGCTATAGTGACGTTACAGCCTCACAAGCGCCGTAACGCCTTCTCGACCAGGCGGCAAGCCGATTTGACTCGTGAACGATACAATTAGTATATAAAAGAAAACAGTACTTTTACAAATTGACCCGTCGCTTGCCATAACACACATAGGCTTAACGACGACGGCTGCCAGAATATGCTATCGCGCTACTGCTCCATACCAGCATAATCCTAAGATAGCGCCCATTAAAATTGCGACGGGTGGGGGCACATTGAACCATGCACTCCCTGAATATGTTACCGCCGCAACAGCCACCCACCATGGATCCTTACCCAGACTCTGTCCGTCGCTTATTTCAGAGGTTAGGTATCCAATCTCCCACAACCGGTATACAGCTGTGAATACTAGCCCAACTGCAGTGGCATTCACCCCCCTGAGGAAGTCGACCACATACTTCTTCTTCCGCAACACGCGCCAGAAGCTTTGGATTGCAACGGCCAGCGTGATTCCCGGAACGAAGATTCCTAGACCTCCGAGGAACGCACCGAGTGCGGTCAGGAATTGCGAGCGCTGTAGAGCTAGTGCCCCCAAGAAGACAGCGAAGTTGAAGTTAGGACCAGGGAAGGCTTGAATAATGGCAAGGCCGATCAGGAAGTCCCTATTAGAGACCCATCCGGGATCGACGACATAGGAGCGTAAAAGGGGAATGACAACAGGACCTCCACCAAATATAACAGTGCCAGCAAGGTACATGTTGGCAAAGAGGTCGAGGACAAGTGGGGGTGTGGTGATTTGTCCTCTCGTAACAAGAATTGCAATAAAGGAAGCTAATTATATTAGTGTTGACGCTCAGACATCTTTTTAGGACGGGATACGCACCGAAAAAGAGACACATAATCAAAACTCCGACCCGAATCCGAATTATGTGCTGCTGTGCACCGGCTTCAACGGACGGCATTGAGCTTGTAGTATCAACTGTGCTCTGTGGTATTTCTTCGACCATAGGAGCCGTCCTTCGCGATCGCATCGTCTTACTCCTTGCCTCTCTATTCTCTTCCAGGGTTATATCATCCATAACTATGGCGTCCTCATTTGCCTCATCCGGTTGTTGAGGAGGACGATGTCTGTTCTCCCATGCGATTCTGGCTCTCAAAAATTGCTGATACAAATATACATCCCAGATGCTCGTTAGGAAGCCACCGATAATCATCAGTACGGGAAAGTACCAGAGCGCATTGTAACAGAGACCAGCACACGCGCCAAAGATCACCAGGATACGGGACATTTTATCGCGAATGGCCTTTTCGGACAACTGTACGGCCGCAAGTGCAACAATACCTACTGTAGAGGCATTGAGGCCAGAAAGTAAGGAGTAGGCAGGTTCGGGAAGAGTTTCACTCATGTTTTGCACCCCAAGTGAGAGGGCATACATACCAATTGCGCCAGGAAGACTGACACCGTTAGTTAAATCGACAGATAGCTGGGCGGCATCAGGGTGTTTTTTTACCTCCAAAGGAAAAACACAAGCATGGCAGAAATGAATCCTGCATGTAATAGGGCTAGGCAGAAAACCATCTTCGTGCTACCGGGACCCGGAAGACCTTGACAGATAGCAAAGAGTTCCTGATACTATAGATTTTGTTAGGGCACCATATGATATCCCGACGCGCCAATTCGGTGGATAAGAAAAACCGTACAGTCTGCTCATCGACCCATTTCTCCTTATCGCCCTTTCCCTCCACAAACCTGCTATGTAGAATCTGGAAGTGCACTGGTGGTCCTCCGAAGGCTGTAAAGCCAAGATCCCATGTGCGCAGAAAGACGTCCAACAAACGACTCGGCAGAGGTTTCCCGGATCCCTCATGTTCTCTTGAAGCCCGGCTTCTCCATTTGTGACTCAGATGGGCGAGTGAAGAGACGCTTTGGGAAAAGGGGGCGAGTGGCATACTGCTCCTTAACAACTGCACAGATAGATCGCTCAAGGATAAATAGTAAGGTAGGTAAGAAGAATAAGATATTCAACCGAATGAGTGCTCCTATAAGCCTTCGGTCGTCGTGTTTTCGAGGTTGAATACTTGGATGAGCGGAATCCATGTATGAAATGGATGGGTGCTAAGACGTTTTGGTAAGCTCCGGCATCACAGTCAAAACAACCAATCAAAGATAGGGTTTGGAGGCACGTGCTGTGGCGCAATACAAAACTAGGAAACCTTATTCGGACGAGGAATGTCACTGCCTTCGCGTTACGTTACAGGACCGAGGCGGTGCTAAGCAATGGAAAGAGCTTTCTTGGCAGCCATCCGAGTTAGCAGTCAAAATCAAGTCATAGCATTTTTACCAAGGAAATTCCTATGGGATCAGCCTAGGAAGATCGAGTTCGTCTGGAGCTCCTCCAAGATGGCGCAAGGAGTGGTCAGGAACCAATCACACATTGGCTCTTGCGGCCTATTGTTACTCCCCATTTCTTTTTTAAACGGTACTTCGTGCATGATTCCCCCCAGCTCACTGCCAATCGCTCCTTGAAATAATTTTGTTAACTTGATGATTTCCCTGCACAACTCTGTTGGTTACCGTAGTACGGCTACACTGAAAATTACCAGTTACAGCGACCACATTATGCAGCTCTCTTGGTCTTTATGAGTCGGAGATCCAATGGCACCACCTAGCGCTCCAGGATCACCCCGACGGGCACCCTGAAGATTAATTTAAGGAAAATTACAAGATGACAATTTTAATGACCCCCAAAAACGATTTAAATACGATCATGAACGATCCAAAAGGCCTCAAACAACATTTGATACCTCTGCCACATCTGATTGGCTTGATGCTATTCCTTTCTCCACTTTGGAGTAGCAGATACGATGTGCGTTGACAATTTCTTAAAGCTGAGGCTTCCAATCACACTTACTCGGCAGGTCTAAGTTATTACAACTAAAAATTCCAGCGGTCACACCTAGAACTCTGGGTCCCATGGCCCGGAGTTGTTAAAGGGGTTTATTCTTTACTGTGCTTCATCAGTTGCCTTCCCTTGACCGCAGGGAAATCCAGGATATGCATCATTCAAATATTTTAGGTGATTCGTCAACGCCGTAACAAATATTAGAAAGAGCTCTGAATACGATACATCAACTTCTAGTGGCCGGCTGACCTGACCGCTTCTTGGCCTGCACATCCCACATCCAACATAACTTATACCGACCCGGTATGGTTCACAGCAATCCCTCCAGACATATCATGCATATGCACGGCATGGGCCTCGACATATTGTACCTCCAGTTGTGGGCTCCGAACGTCCTATGTTACCAGCACAACCCGGCCCTCGGCGTTCTTCAATCATAGGACCAAGGCATATGCTTTCGTCCAACAATGCCTACATGAAGAGTTACCAGCCGGTGCCGCGGGTGCTCCCACGAAGAATGCATCACAATTCTCCATTTGTCACTAGTTTGTGACAACCTGAGCCCTATAAATCAATATTGAGTCTTTTGACAAGCCATAGCCGTGAACACGCTAGTCATCGAATACGGACACTCAAGATAGGTTTCCTATAAATTCCTTCC